CCCTCTCTCTTTTCCCTCTCTTTTCTCTCTTTCCCCTACAAGCACGTATTTCCCCCATTCCTCCTAGCAAATATCACCCCCCCTTCCCAAAATCCTCATTACACTTCCTAGGAAAAAGTGGAGAGGAAAGAGCCAGGATGAGGTGAGCTGTGTTGTGTTCTCTGGGCTCTCCCTCCTGTTGTCCATCCAGCACATGATACATGATCACTGATAGATCTTATGGGATTGCACACACACAGTATAATTACCCCCCCCCACCACCTCCTCCAAGGGCTGCTGATCTCCGGGCAGCAGGAAATGTGGGCAGGGGGTGGTAATCATACTGTGTCCGTGCAGTCCCATATCATCTATCAGTGATCATGTATCATGTGCAGGATGGACGACAGAAGGGAGAGCTCAGAGAACACAACACAGCTCACCTTTTTATTGCTCTTTCCTCTCCGCCACATCTCCTCTCCCTGCTCCAGGCTGTCCCCTGGTCCCAGTTCTGAGTGCAGGCGGGGGGAAGGAGCTCAGCAGAGGGTAGCCACTCAGGGACATCAGGGCACCCCTCCATCCGGCAAGGTCTGTCTCTCCCTCCAGCAGCAGAAAGTCGACAGGAGGGAGAGGGGGTGAAACCTCAAACTGGCTTTCAGCTGCTGGAGGGAGAGATACACAGGGCATCATTCTGCAACTGCTCTCCCCCACCACACTGATCCTCCTGCTGTCCGGGCAACCTACAGGAGTACTGGTGGTACCCCTCAGATGGCGGCCCTGCACGGCTGTGTCCGATGGTGCTCACCAGGACCCTTCTTCTAGGGGGGCAGTGCCACCCCCCCTAAAAATTTACGTCCTAGGCAAACTCTTTGTTTGCCTTGTGGTAGATACTCCCCTGCAGTTGCTCCTGCCAGAAGTTCAGAGCTGTCCTACAGTATGTTCTGTTTGCACTTCTAGTGCTATCTAAAGTAGTCTAATTAGCCCTTTTATCCATTATCTTGGGACTATAGAACGTTTAGTCTCTATGTTGTAGACATACAATAGGGGTGGGTGTAAGTAGTTTTGCAAAAGAACACTGGGCAGAGCTGACACTGCTCAGACTACAAATATGCCAAGTGTTGTCAGCTCACAAATGGACTTGGGAGCTGAGTGCTTTTCTGGTAGATCAAAAAGTGTTTTTTCTGTACTTGCAGGATTTGCCTTGACATACTCCTCAACTACTTACCTGTATTTGGTAGTTTTTTTATTTTATGTATTTGATTTTCTATGTTTTGACTACTTGGTGAAGCTTTTATAGCTTGAATTAATTCTAAAGTTGGCCGTACAGATTTTCATTCAAGAATTTTTTTTTCCTTTGATTTTCTAATCATCAGTGGGGTCAAATCAAAGTTCGCTTTTGACAGCAGTGACAGGAAAATTCAAAGGGGCAAAAAGGAAAACTTTCCTTGACAAAATGGATTTTTGGCCAGTGTATGTGGTTGACGTTCAGATATTACATTGCATTTAAAATCGAATGTTAAAAGCAAAAGACAATTTTCAAACGACATTTGTCCATTCATCGAATGTGCAAAGAATTTTCGTATGAATATTCTCATCCGAAAATCTACAAGTGTATGGCCAGCTTGAGTCTGCTGTTTTCTGTGATGGTGGTGACCATTTTACTAAGATTTGTATTAATCCAAAGTGATCCTAATTTAATATTAAATGAAGGTGCCTACACTATGAAGTAGAAATGCAGTTTTGAAATGACTTGAAATTTGTACAGCAGGAGGAGATTGTGAAGAAGAAGAATGGTTGAAACAAGTTTACTATAAATAGCATTTTGCAGATTTTTAGTCTCCTTCACGGCACAATCCAATAGCACATGATTAATGAGGGTATCAAGCGAAGCAGACGGGCACTACAAATGTACTGTTTGTTTTCTATTGCACTGTATTATTGTACTCTGTATTTTATAAAACTTTTATGTGAAAGTCAAAGTGTTCAACAACCAGTTTTCAGATTCAGGCACATAATTCAACCTTTATTTACTTATGGCTGCTAAGCTTTGGATAATGGTGTTAAGATGCATCTATGTAGAGCCGGAGACCAAGTGTAAACTATGATGTAACTGAGTGCCGGTACACACTGATGCGAATTCAATGCTGATCAGATGTGATCCAAAAAGCAAAGATTTGCATGTAATCTACAAAAGCATTATTTCCAAAGCAGGCTGTTCACATATATGCTGTGCAAATTTGATCCGGTCCAAAAAAAGGTCCTGTTGGAGTTTAGTGCAGGTGTGGTGTGAATTTCATCTCCTGCTATGCCCGGAAATCGCATTTAATTTGCACCTGTCACAGCAAAAAATTGCCGCACTGTGAAACCTTGTAATATTCGCACTGTATCAGTGTGAACCGGCACTTAACGGAATTTTGGTAAGTTAGTTAATAATTAATTTTCTGTAAATCTTAAATTAAAAGCCCTGGTTATTGCAACATAATGCCACATATACTGTATATACACAATCATACGGTCTTTTTCAGTGATGGTACCAATCTTCCCAAACCACTTGATCTTACTCCAATAACTTGACTTTTAAAAAAAACCTCCTACTTCATATGACAAGGAGCAAAGTACAATGATCCATAGTAGCTATCCATAAAACATATGAAAGCTAAATTCCTATTGTTACTACGTGTGGCTGTATATTATTGCTTTTTCTACTGTTATCAAGTAAAGCTTTTAAAGTGTTACTAAACCCAGGACCCTGTATCCACTATATCTGGTCTCCCACAGTACACAGAACATGGGAATGCAATTATTTTAGTAAATATAAACTGCTAAATACCTTTTCTCATCAGACGTTAGAGCAGTCTTGTGACTTCTATCAGTGTCCAGCCGAGCACTGGTTACAGCTTGTAGGAGGAGTTTTCATTCTCCTCTCACTGCCCTATGATATTGCATGACCCCTGACCCTTTGTCTGGACAGTGCTGATTAGCCCTGTGCTGATCACATGCACCCTCTCAAGAAAAAAAAAAAAATTATATAGCTGTACACACCAAACTGAGCATGTGCAGATTATCCAGGAGGCTGTGTTCTATCAGTAGATTAAATGGGGAATGTGGAAGAAGGGGAGGATCAAATATCCTTTTTACACAATGCAGAGGATTAACCCCTTACGTTCCACAGTGATTATAACAGGCATGCTTTACTGCATATATAGACTGATTTTACTGTTGTGGGTTAGTAATACTTTAAACACCAATATATGGTAATATTTGCAGAAGGCTTAAATGCACAGTCATGGGGCTTATTGATAAAACATAAACTAGTGAAAGCATGCACGTTCATGCAGAGGTTAATTTAGACTGAATGATTTTTGGGCCTTAAAAATAAAATGTAATATATTAATACTTTATGTATTACTGGCTAATGAAGCACAATTGTAGCCACACACACATTATTTGGTCTAGTTTACATCATTTGTAGCTATAACCCAAAGTCCAGGAAGGGGCAGAAGGAACTGATCATAGAGACACACAGTGGAATCTGATTGAGGATGCTAGACAGAGAGAAGGCAGAGTAGGAACTTTAGTAACAGGGGGAAAGGAGAATAAGTAGCTGATCAAGGATCTTTCAGTGGAAGAGGCAGAACAATAGATGACTGATCTGCCTGAAAATGTATTGCAGACAGTTGGGAAGAGCTGTCAGACAACATAATGCAGGCTGTGGGGAAGAGCTGTTAGACTACATACTGCAAGCAGTGGGGGGGCTGATCGCTGCACACAATAATCCCTGGGGAATGACATGCTCTCATAAGAAGCATCCTTCTCTCTCTTAAAAACTTTGTGAGAAGGTCCTGAATGATGTAGAAGGTTTCGGTACAGGGGGACTAGAGATTGTGACGTCACCTCGCATGCATGACCACCATCGGGATTTCGGGACTGTATTATTGAATAATGTTTTTTCTCCTAGAAAAATATGTTTTTAACCATTTTAAATACATTTTTATATGGATTCACACTATGAGAGTTTTGTTTGCTCCCTTTCTTTATATCTTTCTGAGCACTTACTGATTATTTAGGAAGCTGCTTGAGGAGAGCTAAGTTCCCATCCATGTGAGGCTCTGGAACAAATTTTGACTTCTCTAAGGCTGGGAGTCACATTTATTGTGGTAAGTGCATATATGTGCCTTGGTGGAAAGAGCGCTTGGGTGTTTTTTTTTTTTTTTTTTTTACATATTCTTTATTTATAAAAAAAGCCTCCAATACCTAAAGAAAGCCGTACGAAATTACAGGACACCTTATGACTTAGAATCACTATATACAAATATGATACAAAAATCTAATGTGAACCAGAGATAGATCCCGGTTAATAAAGACCATGTAGAGCCCATATTGGCATCCCAGTCTTAGTCCATAGGATGCAATATTGAGTTGGCTCACCCTTTGCAGTTATAACAGCTTAAACTCTGCTGGGAAGGCAGTCCACAAGGTTTAGGCGTGTATCTAATGGGAATGTTTGACCATTCTTTCAGGAGTGCATTTGTGAGGTCAGGCACTGATGTTGGGCGAGAAGGCCTGGCTCGCAGTCTCCGCTCTAATTCATCCCTAATGTGTTCTATCGGGTTGAGGTCAGGACTCTGTGCAGGCCAGTCAAGTTTCTCCACCCCAAACTCACTCATCCATGTCTTTATGGACCTTGCTTTGTGCACTGGTATGCAGTCATGTTGGAACAGGAGGGGCCATCCCCAAACTGTTCCCTCAAAGTTGGGAGCATGAAATTGTCCAAAAATGTCTTGGTATGCTGACGCTGAGTGTTCCCTTCACTGAAAATAAGGGGTCAAGTGCAATCCCTGGAAACAAACCCCACACCATAATCCCCCTCCACCAAATTTACACTTGGCACAATGCAGTCAGGCAAGTACCGTTCTCCTGGCAACCACTCCTGACACACCCATTGTATTGCCAGAAAGGGAATCGTGATTCATCACTCCAAAGAACATGTCTCCACTGGTGGCGAGCCTTACACCACTGCATCCGACTTGGATGCAGCTGCTCAGCCATGGAAACCCATTCCATGAAGCTCTCTATGCACTGTTTTGCTAAATTGAAGCCCACATGAATTTTGGAGGTCTTTAGCTATTGACTCTGCAGACAGTTGTCGACTTCTCTGCACTCTGCACTTCAGCATGCACTGAACCTGCTCTGTTATTTTACTGTGAAATATTTAGTAACAAGGAAATTTCACAGATTAACTTATTGCACAGGTGGCAACCTATCACAGTACCATGCTTGAATTCACTGAGCTACTGAGAGCGACCCATTCTTTCACAAATGTTTGTAGAAGCAGTCTGCATGCCACCCTCATGAAGTTTCTGATTGGTCAGAGCCATTCACACCAGTGGCCTGTTGGAAGTAATTATGTAGGGCTCTGGCAGTGGTCACCCTGTTCCTCCTTGCACAAAGGAGCAGATATTGGTCCTGCTGATGGGTTAAGGACCTTCTAAGGCCCTGTCCAGCCTCCACCTGTAAAACCATTCTTGTTTTGGAGGTTGTCTCATTGTTGCCCATCTAGTGCGCCTGTTGTTAATTTCAACACCAAAGCAGCTGAAACTGATCAACAACCCCCTCTGCTACTTAACTGACCAGATCAATATCCCAGGAGTTTAATTGACTTGATGCTATACTCTGAATAAAAGTGTTCCTTTAATTTTTTTTGAGCAGTGTACAAACTTCTGTGTATTTCTCATGATAAATTATCATCGCTGCAGACATTTGTTTAGCCATTGTTATTGCAGTCAATAGGCACATGCTCTCTGGCTCCTTCCTTTGGATTGACTGGCTCCTGAATTTTACCTTTATATGCTTATGTTTTATGTACATAAAAATAATTTAAAATACCAGCCATGCTCACTATGCATTTAATTTAAAGATGCTGCATTGTTATACATCGCTTTATGTTAGCTAGCAGAGGTGATGGAGTGTGTAATGCAGTATTAGGTGAAACATATTTGACTTAATTACCCTGCTGGCTGTAGTGATGTAATGTTATTTAGAGGATAATTACCTTCATTAATATTTTGGCAGTGTATATTACAATATGGGTTAACTGATAATAACTTTTATTTATGCATAATGACAAATATGGCACAAGACAAATAGCTTGGAGCTTATAACTGAACTTCAAGTTGATGTGATGGAATCATGCAGCTTATATTTAACATACAACTGATGATTTTGAAACACACATTTTCAACTTAGATGTGAGCTCAAACATTAATAGAGTTTCATTCAGAGACTTTTTGATGAAAATATTTTCAAGAATATAAGTGATCAATCTGAGTTGTCCTAATGAAATCCATTTCTGGGATATGTGTTGTATGTGAACCTATAGCATGTCTAATAGTAAGATGTATGGGTGTTAGATGGGCACCTGTTCTGCAGATGGGGATTCAGTTTCTTTATGTGAGGCTTTACTTTGACTTCAGATCACAAAGTTGTAATGAACTTTGGACATATATAATGGTCTACTTTTGTGCCTGCCCCCAGCCATAGAGCTTGGGAATGACAAATATTCACATATTAACCAACAATCCACAGGCCACTGCATGTACTATCAAAGTAGCCTTGGGCCTCATGTACAGGGATGTCTAGAGGTTACAGTGTTCACTACCATAAATGCACAGACACGTTCCTGCACCCGGGGACATGCCAGTGGTTCATACTGCCAACCATACAAGTGAATTGCTGTACGTGGCTGTAATCGTGTAAACGCTGATGGCTTTTGCATTGGCATTTACCAGTTCATGCATGTTCAACATATTTCCCCAAATACGCCACTAGCAGGATTGAACACTAGAGGATTTTGCACTAGATGTGCAGAGGCCTAAGGAGTAGGCAATAAGTTACAACTTACCTAAATTCAAACTACATGACTCAAAATTTTAGATTTTATTTTTATTGAATTGTAAGTTATTTGTGGATTATTCAGAAGTTGGCGTAGGCTGTTTACATTGAAGATTGGGATTTTTTTTGCTTGATGCCTAAACTTCAGGATTATGCCAGAGGACAGTACTAAAAACTTTCAGGAAGGCCACCAAAGGGTTCAGACACAACTGTTGACTGAATAACATTTACACTGTGTAGAGGTCCACTGACCGATACAATGGGCCAAGCAGAGTATGTTTCACTTTCTCATTATTTAGAAGTGAAGCCACATAATCTTCCAAAAAATTATAAGACTTTGGCTATTTGTGGCTATTAATGTAAAAAGAACATGCAGCGCTAATAGAATTCAATCATACATGTATAAATATAGATGGTACATAATAAAATGGTATAGTGAACACCACTAAATGATAAACTGTCTAAACATTCACAAATTGTAATAGCAATAGATATCTCCAGCGAGAGTGTTCTTGTGGTACATAATTGCAAAATTTCAAAATCAAGTGGTGAAAAAATTGGTGACTTCCGTGACCATATTCCTCCCACAGAAATGAGTGTAGATTGCACTAACCAGAAAGCGCAATGGTAATGCGCATTTGAGTGTTAACCAACTCCTGGTCATCCCGCCTACTAAAACTGGATCACTGGGAGGGTCATCAAGCTTGCGTCAGCTGGGCAAAGTATCACAACCTCAGGATCTCCAGGTGTCAGGGGTGTGCACTCGTCTCACCAGCAGGGGGAGATTAACCATTCCTGATGTGGCCACCAGATGATCCCAACAAGCCTTAAAGAGGGGGGGGCTCGGAAGTAACGAGCCAGAGCATCAAAAAGATCTAATAGTGTAGTACTTTATTATCCACAGGGGTAAATAGAACAAAGCAATAGAATATGCTACTCACATACAGTAGTAAGCAGCTGCTGACAAGGAATCCAAAACAATGGCCGCCGGCCATCCGCAGGGGCCGTGTGGTGTGACGTCACAGGGTATAAGGTAGGTGTGAGGCAACTCCCTAACGCATTTCGTGCGCTTGCACGTTTTCAAACGTGGCTATTGTTGCATATTATCTTAGTTCATGGATTAAAGTTGAACTTCAGTCTTACCTTTAGTCTTACGCTGGCTCCTCTCCTGTACTGAAATTGCATACTCTGATTTCAGTGCACAGTGTGAGCTACTCACAGTGTGCATTAGAAGTTGCAGAAAGTCAGTTGGAGCCTGCCTTATTTCCTGGAAGGAGGGGGCCCAACATCATCTAATGCCCTGGCGCCCAACACATGGCCTGCCTGTGCTCAGGATATGGTCTGCTGTGTTCTAAACTTTACTGCAGATCAGGTGCACAGGCTTGTTTATACCCTTCCAGAAGCCTCTGCCAGCTCTCCTGAGAACAAGGTCGCCAGCTTTGCACTTGCTCAGCACTTGCTCCTGTGTAAGCAAGCCATGCAAACAAACATAAATAACAAATGTGTGCTGCGCTTCACTCAAAATTCCTAAATACAATTAATACAAATAATAGATACATCCAAGTGCTCCTGTTAATAATAAGTGGAAAAATCTTGTATAAAGTAAATGAATCAACCAATATCAGAAACCAAAAATGATGTCCATATACATGTCAGAAAATTCCATATATACTTCTTGTATTCATTGTATTTAGGAATTTTGAGTGAAGCACAGCACACATTTGTTATTTATCATTGGTTTGACACACTAGTATTAGTATGTGTTAGGTGCAGGCGATTCACAATCAGCACTTAGGAATATTTGATCACTTATATAGCAGCTCACAAGTTTTTACTTTTATATTCCATGCAAACAAACAGTTTACAGGTTTGCCTATCACAAAGCATGCACCTAGTAGCTACCGTTCTCCCTGCTCACCTTCTGTCAACCAGTTCTGTCCCCGACAGTCACAACATTCCCCTCTTCCCTGTCAGATGCTTCCTCTCCCACTCTTCTTACCCCAGTCAAAGTGCTCTTCTTTTATGCCCCTGTTCCTCCAAATTAGATCACTTCCATCCAGACCACACCTCTTTCTTTCCTGAGACAAACAACAGATTGCTGGTATTAATGGGTTTGCTTATCATTAGAAACCATTCATAATATATGAATGGGTTTGAAGGTAACAAATGCATCCCTGTAAATGTCAGCAGGTGAACTGCGGACAATTGTGATTCACCACTGAACTCACTTCACAGCAGAGTGCTACGAATGGATTTGTTTAAAAAACACAAATTTATGTGTTAGAAATTTTTTTTTAAAAACAGTTTATAAAGTAAACTAAATAAGATAAAATAATTAAAATTGACACCCGTGCGTTGCTATATAAAATATAAATTGTGATAATAGACATAAATGCTACAGCATGAAAATAAAATGTATACCAGACTGCTGCTGCTACCCGCTAATACAGTTTACCCTCACACTACTGACAGCAAATGCTAAAGAGAAATTAAGGTGCGCTGTCCTTTTAAATATTAAAAAAAACAATCTACAATCATTACTATTACCTTAAGAAACATAAATGACCACCATGCTTCATATGTGATACATAAATATATATATATTTTAATATAAATAAACACTGTGTACACCTAAAAGTCTTTGCAATAAATAATATTAAATTCCCACAATGGTATGCAAAATTCTATTCGTGACATACAAACCTTCCTTAAAGTGCTCTTCCTTAAAGTGCTTGAATGTCCACAAAAAAGAGATTCACACCTACAGTCATGGCCGAAATTGTTGGCACCCTTGATATTTCTCCAGGAAATCATGTATTTCTCACGAAACGTATTGCATTAACACATGTTTTGCTATACACATGTTTATTCCCTTTGTGTGTATTGGGACAAAACAAAAAAAGGGAGGAAAGAAAGCAAATTCGACATAATGTCACACAAACCTCCAAAAATGGGCTGGACAAAAGTATTGGCACCCTTTCACAACTGCGGATAAATAAGAATGTTACAAGCATGTGATGCTCCTGTAAACTCACCTGGGGCAAGTAACAGGTGTGGGCAATATAGAAATCACACCTGAAAGCAGATAAAAAGGAGAGACGTTCACTTAACCTTTGCATTGTGTGTCTGTCTGTGCCACACTAAGCATGGACAACAGAAAGAGGAGACGAGAACTGTCTGAGGACCTGAGAACCAAAATTGTGGCAAAATATCAACAATCTCAAGGTTACAAGTCCATCTCCAGAGAACTAGATTTGCCTTTGTCCACAGTGCGCAACATTATCAAGAAGTTTG